AACACAGCCCCCTTTTTTTATCAATTATGGTTTTGACCCTACTAGTCTTCTGAGTTCTTTTTCATCTACAGGAGTGCCAAGTGTTGACAGCACTATCAAGGATATGAAAGAGACTTGATTAGGAGTTAAACATATTTTGATTCAAAAGGCCAACGTTCAAAAAAGTAATGCGGATAGGCATCGAAGGGATGCCCCTACATTCGTGTCAGGAGACAGAGTATGGTTGAGTACTCGTCACATAAAACTTAAAGTCCCTTCCATTAAGTTTCCCCCAAGTTTTATAGGGCCGTTCCAAATTATTAAACACATCAACCCTGTCTGTTATAGCCTGCGTTTGCCGCCTACCATGAAGATACCTAACTCATTTCATGTTTCCCTTCTCAAACGTTTAATATTTAATCGTCATACTGAAAGACCCTCGAAACCTCCTCTTGCTCTCGTTGAGGCCCAAAACGAATACGAAGTGAAGTCCATTTTAGATTCCTGTGTTTCTAGGGGAAAACTTCAATATCTCTTAGATTGGAAGGGCTACGGTCCCGAAGAACGTTCATGGGTGGATGCCTCTGATGTTCACGCCACTCGCCTGATTCGTTTATTTGAGAGGCGGCGTTCTCGCTGGTCGGTTCTACCCACCCTGAGGGCGGTTCTCAAGGGGGGGTACTGTAATGATACCTTAACTTTCCTCTTCGGACCCGCGCAGCACGGCGTTCACTCCACTCGCTTCCGGTGAGCGGCACAACCCTTCTGATGCCGGCCGCTCACAACACGCCCACATTTATGAAGCGGCGCATGCGCACCGTAGTCGGCAAGATAACGGCAACATAGTTCAAATGCGACTACGCTCCCGGACCTTTTAGGGGCATGGTTTTAAAGCTATAAACCCCAAATTATATAAGGGCACCCCTGTTAATTGTCAGGCGCCCTTATATAATGTGTTGGTTCCTCTAGTGCGTCTTGATATCTTGAGTGATTTCCTGGTATTTGACTATTAGCTTCCCGTTTTGACTATTCTACTCTCTGGTTCTCCATATATTGGCTTGGTTATATCGTTTGTCCGTCTTCTGTATTCCCTTGACCTCCTGCTATCCCTTTGACTACTCTCAGATGTTAGTCCGGCCACTCTAAGGTCTGGTATATGTCTTCCTCTGGGTTAAACTCTGTGTGAAGGGGTCACTGTCGTGACACCTGCCCTATCCTTTTCTTCTTTTGAAGTTCACACTGCCTATTTAAACCCACTCCTTTAAGAATTGCTATCATCTACCATCCCCCTGGTCATCCTAGGCTATTCATTGAGCACTTTTCTTCATGGCTTCCCCACTTCCTCTCATCTAGAACTCCTTCCCTTATACTTCAATATCCCAATCAATAACCCCAACTGCACGGATGCCTCTCGTCTGCTCTCTGTAATTTCCACCTTTAGCCTCACTTAGTGGTCCGATTTAGCAACCCATACAGCGGGAAACACTCTCAATCTCGCCTTCACCAATCTCTGTACCACCTCTTATCTTTTCAATAATCCTTTTCCTCTATCTGAACACCATCTGCTGACTTTTGACATCGGCGTACCCAAGACCCAGCTGACACTCACAGAAAGCTCCAATGTCTTTTTTTTTTTTTTGTAAATCTGTTTTTATTGAGGAAAGTTCAATAAAGAAAGAGGAGAAATAGAAAATGAGGCTCGCAGGCCTCCATGTATAACGTTGTGACATAACATAACATGCATTATACAGCAGTCCAGAATATTCAACAAATTATTGCAATATGTAGCATTTGCGGCTTTAAGGTCATGCATAAAAAGATAAGCATAAAACATGTCTAGTGTATATGCGGTATGTAATTAGATGGTATATTGGTGTTTTCCCACTGGTTAGATTTGGGGTGGAGCCCTATATGTATCCATTGGTTACACTTCATGTTCTTATCGCGACCTCCTGTGTGATTGTAAATACCGCATTTAGTCATTCAGTGTGGATCCCGTGTTCCTATGCCATGGGTCGGTTAAGTGGGGGGGGGAGGTAATTGTAGTATAAAGTAGAAATGAAAGGGGGAGAAAGGTTTCGTAGGTCTAGAAGAGTCCGTCCTTGGGCTCCTCTTTTCCTCCTCGCATCGGAGTAGGTGAGTGGTCGGTACGTGGTATTCGGGGATTATCTAGTCGGTTTGTGGTGGATCATGCTGTGCGTGTAAGGTACTATAGTTTAGATCGTTGTCAGGTACCGTCTCCCGTTATAGGCATGTCAGGGGTCTGATCTAGTATGTTGTGTCAGCTCCTTGGTCGCCCGTCAGTGTGCAGTGTCCCATACCGTACTTCGGGATTCCAGGTACGTGTTAACCGTCCGTGTGGTTATTGAGTATGGCTATGTATCACCGGGCTGACGTTCGTTCAGCACCCGTGTGTCCTGTAAAAGGTCTAAGTTAACAAGGGAGTGTGTGAATCCGTGTGCTTTGTCTCCCATCGGGGCATGGTGTCCCATGGGGGGGTCATAGCCAGTGATAGGAAGGATCTGGGATCCACCCACCGGCCCTCCACTCCTCGTGTGCGTGATGGAAACCCTCTATCTACCCGCTTGGTACGAGAACCAGGGTTGCCACATCTCCGCGTGCCTTGCTGAACGTCCCGCCTGGGATGCCCGTAACGCCTCTGCCGCCTGTATATCCCCAACCCTTTGGAGCCACTCTTCCATAGTGGGGACTTCTGATCTCTTCCAATAGATGGGGATCAAGGATTTGGCCGCATTCAGTAAATGGCGTAGGATCGATTTCTTGTATCCGGGGATGGATTGCGAGGTGATATGTAGTAGGGCCAGTTCTCGGGACCATTCTGTGTCGTTCCCCAGGATTGCCGTTATCTCTGTGTGAATGCGATCCCAGTAGTGCGAGATAGTCCGGCATTCCCACCACAGGTGTAACAGGGTGCCCCTTGCCTCCTGACATCTCCAGCAGGTTGGGGATGTCTCCGGGAAAATCTTCTGTAATACGACTGGGGTCCTGTACCACATGGAGATCAATTTATAGTTGACCTCCTGGTAGTAGGAACTTGAGGAACTTTTATGTTGCCATAGCAGTGCTGTTCCCCATTGTGTTGGTGTGATTTGTATCTCTAGTTGTGCTTCCCACCGTCTTTGAAAGGTATTATTGTCCGAGGAGGCTCCTATCAACAAGTGTTGGTAAAGGAGAGATACTGCCTTTTCAAGTGCGGTGCCTCGCCGGCAGAGGCCCTCGAACCACGTAAGGTCCCTATGTAGCAGCTGTTTTTGAGGTAAGGATGTCGTAATAATGTGTCAATTGGAGGTAGTGTAGGGTTAGTAGGGGCGTCTGTGGTCTGTCAGCCAGCAGTGAGTTCAGTGGCCGTATGGTTCCCCCTTCCAGAATTGTGCAGAATGGGACATAGTACCTTTCCCCCAGAAACGCCCAGATCCCATATGGGAGTCCTCCTCCAATGTCGGGGTTATGGGTAACCGGGAGCATAGGGCTAGGGGTTGGGGAGACCTGTGTCATTCTCCTAGTTGTCTTCCACGTTTTCAATGTCTGTGCTAACGGGTTCCCATCTTCTTCTTTCCCACTGCGACCTGTCCCCTCTCGCCACACATCAGCCTTAAGTTTGGTCCCCGAGTCAACTCTGTCCAGGGTTACCCATTGTTTCGGGTTTTCGGCTGCGTGCCACTCCAGGATACGCTGCATTGTGGTAGCTTGGTGGTACTTTTTAAAATCCGGGAGTGACAGGCCACCCCTGTATCTGGGTAAGCACAGTGTTTCATATCGTAGTCGGGATCTCTCCCCTCTCCAGACATATCAGATGACCACCGTTTTCAGAGTTGAGAAGAAGGTTGCCGGTAGCGATATTGGGATGGTTTGAAATAGATATAGGATCCATGGTAGTACGTTCATCTTGAGGACCGTGATCCGTCCGTGCCAGGTGATGTGTGGATATGCCCAGCGGTCAAGGACTGACGTTATTTGTTGTAACATGGTGGTGAAATTATGTCGATAAACGTCTCGCGGATCGGTGGTGATCCAAATTCCTAGGTATTTCATTTTCCCTTCGCACCAGCGAAATGGAAAAGCAGAGCTCAGTGTGGTATATTCATTCTGTGGGAGGGTGACATTAAGGACCTCACATTTCGTAAGGTTAAGCTTGAATCCTGAGATCCGTCCAAAGCGTTCAAATTCTAGGAGTAGACAGGGCATCGTGATTCGTGGGTTAGAGATGAAAAAGAGAAGGTCGTCCGCATAGGCAGCCACCTTATGTTCTGACCCCTTCCAAATAAAACCGTGAATGTCCGGATTCTGTCTTATAGCCTGTAGGAGCGGTTCCAGGGTCATGGCAAACAAAAGAGGGGATAGGGGGCATCCCTGTCTGGTCCCGTTATTAATTTCAAAGTTGGCGGTCAGTGCTCCATTCACCCTGACCGCCGCGTGCGGTTTATCGTATAGGGCGGATATCCAAGACATCATCTTACATCCCAATCCCATAGCCCTTAGCGTGTGCATCATGTACGACCAGTTGACCCGATCAAAGGCCTTTTCGGCGTCTGTAGGGAGCAGTAAGAGGGGTTCCCGTGAGGTTCGCGCTTGGTGTTGTATGGAGAAAAGTCGCAGTGTGCTGTCCCGAGCTTCTCGACCTGGGATAAATCCCGTTTGGTCTGCGTGAATTATACTCGGTAGCGCACGTTGTAGCCTGGTCACCAGCACTTTCGTAAGGAGTTTCGTGTCCACATTCAGTAAGGAAATAGGTCGGTAGTTGCCGCAATGTCCGGGTTCCTTCCCAGGTTTGAGCAGAACCGCGATTGTAGCTGCTAGTGATTCCATGCCAAATCGTCCACCTTCCGTGATGGCGTTGAGTGCCTTCGTCAACCAGGGCAGGAGTAGTGTGGAGAAATGTTTGTAGTACCCTGTGGGGAATCCGTCCGGCCCCGGTGCTTTACCCACCTTCGTTGCCTTCAGGGCTGCGGTTAGTTCCTTGGTGCTGATCAGTTCGTCTAGCATGGTTTTCGCGTCTGGGTTCACTCGTTTGCAGACATTATCCCGTAGGAAGGCCTGGGTGGGCGTGAGGGCGACAGGTCCCGGTGTTGTCCCATCCAGGGCGGGGAGGTTATATAAAGCATGGTAGTATCGGCGAAATTCGTTTGCGATTTCGTCTGGGAAGGAGGTTGAGGTCCCAGAGGGGAGGCGGATTTTGTGTACCCTTGTTCGTGGTGTGTCGCCTTTCAGAAGGCGTGCCAGGAATTTGCCGCCTTTGTTCGCGTGTATATAGAAGAAATTCTTCGAATATTGTAAGGAGCGGTAGTACTTTCGTGTGATGAGGTCTCGGAGTCGTCGTCGGGCATTCAATAGTTCCGTTTGTCTGTCAGCGTGTTGAGTCCGTTTGTGTTGGATTTCCTGCTTTGCGACGGTCTCATAGACTTCTGCCATTTCCCGCATCGCCGCCTTCCTTTTGCGGGAGGCTATCCTAATGAGATTTCCACAGATTACACTTTTGTGTGCTTCCCAGATCGATATAGGCGACATTCCTTCCACATCATTTTCTCTGAAATATAATTCCAGGGCTTGCGTTACTTCCCCTAGAACCTCTGGGTCTTGGAACAAGGACTCATTCAGTCGCCAGGTCCAGCGGGCTGGTTTGAACAGCGGTGATTCCAGTTCAACCATCATCGGGCCGTGGTCTGACCAGGTGGCAGGGCCTATAGTAGCCGCCCTAAGTCGCGTCAGGCCCTCCTGTGGGAGCAGTTTGTAGTCGATCCGCGAGTAGCGTTGATGGAGTGCCGAATAGTGGGTGTAGTTCTTGGAATCCGGGTTAAGCGCTCTCCAGCTGTCCACTAGACCCATCTCGCTCATTGATTTGCGGATCGAGCAAATACTAGAGTGTGGTAGACAGCTACTGCCTGTCGATGTATCCTTCTGGGGGTCTAGTGGGGTGTTAAAGTCACCTCCTATAATAAGCGCCCCTTCCGAGAATCCTCGTAGCTTATTCAATGTTCCCCTAAAGAATCTTGCCTGGTTTGTGTTGGGCACATAGATCGACACCAATGTGTAGAGTTTGTCGGCAATGGTGCCTTTTAGGAAGATAAACCTCCCCTGTGTGTCAATTATCCTGTCCAGTTCCCTGAAGTCCAGGTTAGCGGACAGGACGATGGCAACACCGGCTCTACGTGCCATGTTGTGGTTGATAAAGAAATTGTTGGGGTAATATCGGTTCTGCAGTTTTGGTGCACATCCCTCTAGGAAATGGGTTTCTTGAAGCATAGCTACAGATACTTGCGATTTCCGCAATTCTCGCAGGAGATGGGTGCGGCGTTCAGGAATGTTCAGACCTCTGCAGTTGAGGGATAGGACATGCAACGGGGCATTATGATAAGGTGCTGACATCCCGGCACTCGGCTCAGGGCACGCGGAGAACCCGGCGCCCGATCCCCCCTTCCTGGGTGGCTATATAGTCCCGGCTAGCTCCCTCCCGTTGGTGCGGCCACTAGGAGTAAGTGGTCTGTGTAGCTGCGGGAGCGGAGGGCCAGTAGGAGCTTTCCCAATCAAGTGGCGAGGTCACTAAAGTAGGGGCGTCGTGTGTAGATTTTGCCCCTCTTACCGTCCCCGTACTCCCAGTGTGGTGCGTGAGGTTGTGCAGTCGGCGGAGTGTGGTGGCGGTGTGAGGAGGGCGCGAGATGTGGCTATATTGCGCGTCTGTGTTAGAGCCAAGGACGGACTACTAGGAAAGTATGAGTGGTTTCAAGTATAGTGAGTAGAAAAGAATAGAGTAAAAAAATGGGGAGAGTACGATATTCCCCAGATGGAGGTGTCCCTTAGTGGAGGATGGAGAAATTAAAGAGAATGCACCTCAATGTCACCTCAGTTTAAGGAGGTGGAAGTCGTGCGACAGCAGGGGTCGCCAGAGGTCACTCCGGTAACCAGACCGGGATGTGGATCTCTGGGGGCTCCGCCGTCCAGGAAAATGCACGACCCTTAAGTGGAGTCAATGGCTCCGCTCCGAACCGGTATGGATATGGAAAATAAGTGTGGTGTCAGAACAGTATCCGTTTGTCCCACCCACCAGCACCATAGCCTAGTGCCATTTGAACCATAGATAGGGCGCCATCCGACAGAGGTGGTATAGGATAACTTAAATAGATTAACATTGCAAAATTAGGCAAGCGTGAGAACAGCATGGAGATTTATGCGTTTGTTATCAACTTGCAATCTCTCCCCATCCCCCTCCACCCCTGACCCCTCGGCCCCGACGTGTCCCCCGTAAGTGATCGGCAACCGTGGAAAACTTACATTTCCCTCCCCGCCCTCCCACAAATAAGAGAGGACCGGTTGATTATCTGCCCCGGTGGGGCCTCCCCCCGTCCCCTACTTCCTCCCGGGTGTCCACCCCTCAGTGTTGATTGTGTTAGGAGTCCCGCCCTCCCTCTGCATGATATGCCGACCCCCCCAGCCATCAGACCGCCCAGTCCCCGGTGTAGGCATTCCGGACACGTGAACCAGCCCGTCCGCATGGCCAGGGGGGTCAGCACACCCAGCAGTTGTGTCATACAGTTGCCATCCTAATATATATATAACAGCTAAATGCAATACGTGTTATATGTACAATACAATATGTGTAGCAGACATTTGTGGTAGAGGAGGTGAGGTCACTGAGTGAGACATGTGGTCTGCCATGTATACTGTTGGTACTGCACAATACCGTGAGTCCAGTGCACAGATCTCCAAGAGAGTTGGTGCGTGTTTGCAGCATCAATGTCTCGCCGACCTGTGCTCCGCCATGCACAGGTGAGTTCCCCGGTGCCACAGATGGAGGGTTCTCAGCTTAAGGTCGAAGGCAGGGCCCCCCCAGGCAATGCAAAAAGTTCCCCGCATCAACCTCCCCTCCCCAACATAAATCCATGGTGATATGTATCTTATGGGCTTGTATGGCGGGCAATCCTCCCCCACATTTCCCACCCGGCCAAAAGAAGAAGCATCATCCGTCATCCCCACCCAAAATTCCGTGGGGGTAGGGGAATGAGAACCCCTCCGTTACCTCTTCTTGGCATCGGGAGGGTCCCGAGTGAGGGTGAAGCAGGAGGGTCATCTACGCAGCATTCCAATCCGTGGTTTGGGTTTGAGGGGTTGCAGTTCCTAGTATAGTGTCCGCGCAGGGCAAGGTGCTCCTCTGAGGGGATTGGTCATGGGTAGAGAGCAGAGGGCGGAGGGCCTACCTGTTACTCCGGCGCCTCCGGGTTGTTACGTCTGCGGGGTGCCGGACCTCTTAGTGGGTTGTCCCCACGCCTCCGGGGTGCCCGTTGTTGGCGTGGTCCCCCTCCCAATGGGCTCAGAATCCAGTCCTGAACCGTAATTGGAGGTAAGTCCAGCTCCTCCAGGAACCTTGGAATCTCCTCGGGCCAGCGGACCGATGTCCAGCCATTCTGAGTGCGGGCTAGTAGGGCGAAGGGAAAGCCCCATTTATAAGGTATGTTCCTTTCCTGTAGGGCAGCTGTGATTGGCTTCAGTGCTCTCCTGGCCTCAAGTGTAGTGGGGGAGAGGTCATTATACAGGGAGACCGCAGCACCCCTGTAATCCCAGGTCGGGCGGGAGCGGGCTGCTCTTATTATGGCATCCTTATCTCGGAAGGAGTGAAGGCAGCATATCAGGTCTCGTGGGCCCTCGTCCAGGGACCGGGTGCGAAGGGCTCTATGAGCTCGTTCAAATTTAAGAGTGTGGGGTGCGGCCTCTCCAAGTATCAGGCGGAATAGGCCAAGTAAAGTATCCTCAGCATCTTCTGCTTCTCCTTCACTTTCGGGGACCCCACGGACCCTGATGTTGCATCTGCGCCCCCTGTTATCTAGGTCCTCGACCGACCTTCTCATTTGCAGGAGCAGCTCACCTTGGCATGTTAGGGCCATGTCCGTTGCTTGTTGCCTCGTGGCATGGGCTTCGTGCGAGCGTTCCAGGTCCTGGATTCGGCCTGTCTGTGCCGTCACCTCCGCCCGAATTCCCGCCATTTCGGCACGTAGTGCATCTTGTATGGTGGTTGTGAGGGCTAGGAGGTCCGTTTTTGTGGCCATGGCTGCAGCCATATTACGGAGTTCTTCACCTATCCTTTCTAACGCAGCGCCATGCGGTTCCCTGGGGGGTAGGGCCGTCGGCGCCATATTAGATCCACTTGCCTCCCCGCTCGCGTCCGTCTGGGACTGGAGGAATCCATCCATCGGGCCGTGGGGCTGACCCGTTTGGGGGCCCCTCGGTGTCTGGGGGGTATCCGTGCGTCGGTGGCGCCCCATAGGAGCTAATAATTGCGGATTAGCAGGCTAATTAGGTTGCCGGCGGTACGGAGCTCACAGCTCAGGCGTCCATCCCGGTCAGAGCTCAGGCCACGCCCCCTCAGCTCCAATGTCTTGATCTAGAACATTTTTCCACTAATCTCCAAACTCTCCTTTTACCTATCTCAAACCTCACCTGCCCTAGCTCTGCAACCTCCTTTTACAATTCCACCCTCTCCTCTCAACTAGACATCATGGCACCTCCTACATTTAAACACAGCAAGTGCCCCCAACAACAACGTTGGCACACTAACTCGATACCTCCAAAAATGATCCAGAACTGATAGATGCTGTTGACGAAAGTCTCACTGTGCATCTGACTTTCTCCACTTTAAATTTATGCTGCGCTTATACGGCTTGGTTCTTTCCTCTGCAAAAGTAAATTACTTCAATAACCTCATAACCACACTCTCCCGTGAACCCAAGCGACTATTTCACACATTTAATTCTCTTCTTCTCCCTATTGCTCCTCCTCCGCCTACTAACTTGACTGCCTCAGAATATGCGACTTCACTGACAAGATCTCTACAATCAGGGAAGAGATCTCTCATCTTATACTTTCCCTAACCGCACTCCCTCTGCTGTTCTATGTTCATTCACACCCACTACGTTCATTCACTCCAGTCCTCCTGCCCCTCCACCTGCTCCCTAGATCCAGTTCCCTCGCATCTCATCCATACTCTGTCTTCTTCTCTTTCTCTACCTCTCACAAAAATTCTCACTCTCTCTCTCTCCTCTGGCATATTTCCATCGCCCTTCAAACATGTAACTGTAACCCCAATTCTAAAGAAGCCCAACCTTGACCCTAACACCCCGTACAACTACCGTCCTATCTTGCTAATGCCTTTTGCATCCAAAATCCTTGAAAGAGTTGTGTATGCTAGATTGACAGACTTCCTTGAGTCCAACTCTCTGTTAGACCCGCTTTAGTCTGGTTTCCATGCTAAGCACTCTGTGGAAACGGCACTGACCAAAGTATCCAATGATCTACTAGCTGCAAAATCTCATGGTTCTCTTTGACTCCGACCTCTCCTTCATGCCTCATGTTCAGTCTATCACCAAATTCTGCCGCTTCCATCTCAAAAACATTGCGCGCATCCGACCCTACTTAATGCCAGATGCGACTAAGTTGCTGGTCCATTCCACTGTCCTTTCTCGCCCTGACTACTGTAATTCGCTTCTCAGTGGTCTTAGGTGCTCCCAACTTGCGCTGTTACAGTCCATAATGAATGCTGCGGCTCATCTTCCTGTCCGCCCGCACCTCCCACGCCTCACCCTTCAGTCAGTCCCTACATTGGCTTCCTGTATAGGGCTCGATTTTAAATTCTGGTTCTTGCTTTCAAATCTCTACATAAAGCTGCTCCCACCTATCTATCCTCTCTCTAATACGCAAGTATGTCCCATCTGGGCCCTTACGCTCTGCTGAAGACTTACGTCTATCTTCTGTCCGTACTCCCACCTCTGATATTTGCCTTCAAGACATTTCTCGAGGGCTGCACTGTTCCTTTGGAACTCACTTCCCTCCTCCGTTAGATGCTCACCCAGTCTCCACACATTCAAAAAATCATTAAAAACCCACTTCTTCATAAAAGAGTATCAATTAAACTGTTAATAGCTCCTGACTGATTCCTCTATTGCAACTGTCATTAGTCTAACACTATCCTTACCTTTTGTGTCACTTTACCGCACTCCCTCTAGCATGTAAGCTCACTGAGCAGGTCCCTCAACCCCTCTGTTACTGTATGTCAAACTTATCTGGTTACAACTGCATGTTTGTTCTTCCACCCACTGTAAAGCGCTGTGGACATTGTTGGCACTATATAAATAATAACATAACATAATAATAAAGGCAACTAGACCACTTCACCTGAAGTGGTCTGATTGCAGTGGTCCTTTAGTTTAAGACTGCAATGTAAAGAAATGCCAATTAGTAGATACAGCAATGCTTACATTGTCTTCCCGACAGTTATAAGACTCACACTTGGTCCTCACAGCTGACCCCCAATAGGAACGCAGTGCTGTCACACAAGCATTTTAGTCCCCAATACTCCTCATGAATTGGACTATTTAGAGGCATCTGCGTGATGTTGTGAGAGGCATGTCAAGTGGCTGCAGGGACCTGATCTCAGCACATGAAAGAAAGGTAAGTACAGTCTACAGGGACTTGATCTCAGCACATGAAAAAAAGGTAAGTAAAGTCTTATTTCTCATTTTTATTTAGATTAAGTGGGGCCCTGAATCTTAATAAAGAGGAGAACACTATATTGCTAGGAACCGTTGTTTGAAGTGTTTTATAGTGTTCCTTTAAGAAGAAATGAGTATGAAGAAAACAAATTTATATATTTACTTTATATAGCCAGAACTTTTGGTAGAGTTTATGACAAAATATTTATATGAAAACAAAATGCTTTCACATAGTTAAATATACTTGGGGACTTATTTTCACAAATACATATTTTTTATGAAGTATGAGTGAGCAACCAGTATTAAACTTAAATTCCCTGCATATGACATTTTCAAATGTTTATGTTTAAAACAATAAGTCTAGCATCCAAAAAATACTAAACATAAAAGGACATTTTCATAATCAGGACTATTTTTATATTTTATTCATAGCTAATTTAGTGTTAAATATTTAAACAAAGCATTATAAGATTGCCCTATTTGTCCTTTAAAAACAGTGTGTAACTTATATGGATGTAGTTAATGAGGAAGTGGGAAATTATGGTAGACACATAGCAAAATCTATAATTTATATATATATAAATTGTAAACAATTAAAAAAAAAAAAGTTTGTCATGACCACATATACATTGTTACCAAATGTCAGCTGATCTTAATTAGCAAGAATTTGAAATAATTTTAATGATAATAAATGTATTTTTACTTGCTTAATATTTTATAATTGTACACTCAGAGACAGACACATCTTATATGTAATACTTATGGGAATGTTCTTACATATTTAAACATTGCTCCTTTATAAATATTTATACTGTATGATGCTCTTTCTATGAGCTACAAGATGTATCTGAACATCGTGGATTGAAGCAGTGTTATTATTTAGTTTGAAATTTGTGAACCAAGCCTGAACTGGAACCCCATTGACCAATGTCATTTACAAAGCTTCTTTGGGCCCAGCTCTTTAGATTCAAATAATGTATGTTAAATCAAGTACTGGCTTTATAGAAGGAAATGACAGTACATACAGAAAATGCATAAAATCTATCTGGGATCTAACAGAGAATTACAGCAAAGACTGCTGTATGAAAGTTAAACCATATGGACAACATTAAAGAGCAGTGAAAGGAACAGAAGACAATCTGATATGTGTTTAAAGGACAATACAGGTTCATAAATATGTCAACTGGTTTGTTTAATTTACTGTGATGAGAAGAAAATGTTGAAAAAGGTCTGATTTGTAGACAAATTAGAAATGTAAAAATGAGATTTTTATATTTACTATTTGAAGTCTTTTTTTGTCAATCTTTATTTAGTCTCCCAGTAAGATAACACTAAATTAGCAATTTTTTATTTTTTTTCAGTGTTAAGAGCTGATGATTCTTAAAAATATTCCTTCAATAAAGTGGAATAGAAAGTATCATCAAGGCATTAATAGAAAGTAGAAAAGGTAAAAGCGCACACAAAATAAGGAGGTCTTTACCTGACGTGTTATAAATAACTGGTAAGAAGTAACTTCTCCTTATATACAGTAGGTATATACAATGTGGGTTTGCCTATACAGAAGATACAAACACAGAACAAAACATAGTGTGGTCTGTATATAAAACACAAAAAAGGAAATTATGAGGCTAAAAACACTCACACTTTGCTGAGCCGTTTAAAGTAGGCTCGGGACTTATGTGGCTTTATATGTCACTTAAGCGGGACATGCACATTCCTTCACTCTTCAGGCGAGTGCTTCAATGATCTGAATAATCATCTGTTGAGAAGTTGGAGTCAGGAGCCAGGAGTATCAGGATATATAAAAAAGGATATTTATTCATATAAAAACAAATATAAAATAAAAGTATTGCACAACGCATTTCAACCATCAGGTGGTCTTCCTCAGGTGCTGTTCAAAGCTACAATGAGCCTGCTGCTGCATATATAGGGCATGGCATGAGGTAATAATTACAAATATTCACTACACATGTAGCACTAATTGAGGTACAATTGCCTTATATGGTCCGAACCAGATGTGTTCTGCCACCTCCAATATGGCTCCACATCCGGTTCGGAAACATACACTGTAAATACAATACATGTAAAAAGAATTCACAAAATATCACAGAAACAAATAAAATATATAAATATTTATCCCCCAGCATAGTCAACCACCACGATACAATCAAAACGTGGGTGGCTTAATGTTTGGGGATATTGTATATTATGTCCGGTAAGTCCGTCGCGTCACTTCTGGTTTCGCTGAAAAGAGGATCGGCTATGTCCCTTCTCGGTTTCCACATTTAGAATGATGTTGATGTACTGTAGGGCTAAAGAAGCCATCTTTAAAGTGGGCAATCTGTCCATATCCTCCTCATAAATACATATATACCAAATATAGATATATTATATATAAAAAAGAAAAATATAAAAAACATTGGTGTTAATCATTTCATAGGGCATATATTATTAACATATAGAACATGATAAAAGCATTTTCAAGCAATATATGAACACTGTAATGTCTCAATAAAGTGCAAGAAATGTATAAAGTGCTCTTAGAAATATAAAAAAGTATAAAAAAAAAAAAAAAAGCCCAAAAGAGACCTAGTTGTTCAGCAAATAGCCTTTCCATAATAATAAATGGAAAGCAGAAGGGAGATAAAGATAAAAAAAGAGATATTTGAGGTAGACAGAAAATGCAACCAGAACAGAGGGAAAAA